TGTCCATGAGGCAGGGGGCACGCCTACCCCCCTGGGCGCGCCCTCCCCCCTCGTGGGCCCCTCGTGGCTCAACCGACCTACTTCTTCCTCCTATATATGTCCACATACCCCGAAAACATCCAGGAGCACCACGAAACCCTATTTCCACCGCCGCAACCTTCTGTACCCAAGAGATCCCATCTTGGGGCCTTTTCCGGAGCTCCGCCAGAGGGGGCATTGATCATGGAGGGCCTCTACATCAACTCCATGGCCCCTCCGATGATGTGTGAGTAGTTTACTTCAGACCTTCGGGTCCATAGTTATGAGCTATATGGCTTCTTCTCTCTCTTTGGATCTCAATACAAAGTTCTCCTCGGTGTTCTTGGAGATCTATTCGATGTAACTCTTTTCGCGGTGTGTTTGTCGAGATCCGATGAATTGTGGGTTTATGATCAAGTCTATCTATGAACAATATTTGATTCTTCTCTGAAATCTTTTATGCATGATTGGTTATCTTTGCAAGTCTCTTCGAATTATCAGTTTGGTTTGGCCTACTAGATTGATAGTTCTTGCAATGGGAGAAGTGCTTAGCTTTGGGTTCAATCTTGCGGTGCTCGATCCTAGTGAAAGAAAGGGAAACAACACGTATTGTATTGTTGCCATCGAGGATAAAAAGATGGGGTTTATATCATATTGCTTGAGTTTATCCCTCTACATCATGTCATCTTACCTAAGGCGTTACTCTGTTCTTATGAACTTAATACTCTAGATGCATGTTGGATTGCGGTCGATGTGTGGAGTAATAGTAGTAGATGCAGGCAGGAGTCGGTCTACTTGTCACGGACATCATGCCTATATACATGATCATGCCTAGATATTCTCATAATTATTCGCTTTTCTATCAATTGCTTAACAGTAATTCATTCACCCACCGTAATACTTATGCTATCTTGAGAGAAGCCACTAGTGAAACCTATGGCCCCCGGGTCTATTTTCCATCACATAAGTTTCCAATCTATTTTACTTTGCAATCTATATCATAAAAATACCAAAAATATTGATCTTATCATTATTATCTCTATCAGATCTCACTCTCGTAAGTGACCGTGAAGGGATTGACAACCCCTTTATCGCGTTGGTTGCGAGGTTCTTATTTGTTTGTGTAGGTACAAGGGACTTGCGTGTGGCCTCCTACTGGATTGATACCTTGGTTCGTCAAAAACTGAGGGAAATACTTACGCTACTTTGCTGCATCACCCTTTCCTCTTCAAGGGAAAACCAATGCAGTGCTCAAGAGGTAGCAGTAGCTAGATGGCTTCTTCTCTCTTTTTGATTCTCAATACAATGGTCTCTTGGAGATCTATTTGATGTAAACCTTTTTGTGGTGTGTTTGTTGGGATCCGATGAACTTTGAGTTTATGATCAGATCTATATCCATGAATATTATTTGAGTCTTCTTTGATCTTGTATATGCATGATTATTTATAGCCTTGTATTTCTTCTTTGAATATTTGGTTTAGTTAGGCCAACTAGATCATTTTTTTCTTGCCATGGGAAGAGGTGCTTTGTGATGGGTTCTATCTTCCGGGTTCCTCTCCCAGTGACAAAAGACGCAGCGAGGCACGCATGTATCGTTTCTATTAAGGATAACATAGATGGGGTCTATTCCTACATGAATAGATCTTGTCTATATGATGTCATCGTTCTTATTGCATTACTCCATTTCTCCATGAACTTAATACACTATATGAATGCTGGATAGCAGTCAATGTGTGGAGTAATAGTAGTGGATGCAGGCAGGAGTCGGTCCACTAATCTTGGATGTGATGCCTATATATTGATCATTGCCTTGGATATCGTCATAATTATTCAATCTTGTATCAATTACCCAACAATAATTTGTTTACCCACCGTATGCTATTTTCTCGAGAGAAGCCACTAGTGAAATCTACGGCCCCCGGGTCTATCTTTTATCATATTGCTTTCAAGATCTATTTTTATTCGCATTTGTTTTCAGATCTATTACCCCGAAAACTCAAAAATACCTTCCTGGACTTTTCTTTCTTTATTTTATTTCATGTTTTATTCAGATCTATTTGCCCAAACTATCACAAATTAATCTACCTTTTTACCGAGGAGGGATTGACAACCCCTCTTACGCGTTGGGTTGACAGGATTTGTTCTTTGTGTGCAGGTACTGTTTACAGAGAATTGCTTGGTTCTCCTACTAGATTGATACCTTGGCTTTATAACTGAGGGGAATACCTACTGTAGCTGTACTGCATCATCCCTTCCTTTTTGGGAAAATACCGATGCAGTTTCAAGCCGCGTCATACGACTACATCAACCGCATTATATACGCTTCCGCTTTCGGTCTACAAGGGTATGTAGAAACACTCCCCTCTCGTTGCTATGCATCTCCTAGATTGGATCTTGGGTGTTCCGTAGATTTTTTTTACTTTCATGCTTCTTTTTCCATCATCTTTGTACCTGTACATTATTGCTAAGAATGTTGTCTTTCATTTTAAGCTACTTTCGAAAATAAAAATGCCTCTAAAAGCGAAAACATTTGTGTGTCTAGTGATCAAAGGACGGATCTTAACCAAGAATAATGTTAGAAAAAAGGGTGAACATGGATGAATATTTTTTAGTTCTGTGGTGCTCGAGAGGGTATTGATCATCCTGTTTTCACATGCTCTTTTGCTAGATCTTTCTGGACTGTGGTTTGTGGTGCATTTGGTAACCCCAAAGTTCCTTTGTTCGTTCTTTGACTTGTGTCAAAATTGGCTGCCAGCTCATACTAGCGAAGATAGAGCTGTTATATCTATTGGCGTTGCAATGTGTGCTTTCCCCTGAACCTACTAATGTATTTTTTTACTTTGTGCTCCTTGCTGGACTCCTGGACTGCTCTACGGAGAAAAGGTGTGCAAAGAATGCTTAATGAAGTGTCTAAAAGGCTAGCCGAGGTGGTGAGTAATACCTTCGGAAGGGCATTTGGTTGGGGGCCAACATTCAAAGACTACGATGATTTTGGTTGTTGATATTATGTTATTCTAGAATTTAGAGGGATTTGTAGATTAAGTTGGTAGTTTGCCTTCTGTTGTTGCCTTATCTCTTTTGGCATCCCTTAGATGTGGTCAGGGGATGTTCCCTTTGTAGTGATGCATCTTTCAGGCTGGGCTATGTGTGATCTGGAGACTCCATTTTCTTAATGAAGATGGGGACCTTGTGGCCCATTTGATAAAAAAATACCAACTGAGATAGCTACATTTTGTGAATTATTAATGGACTAAATCTAATATTGAGTGTATTCATTTGATGAAAGGTATTTTTTTAGAAAAATGACTTAAATATTATGTTCTTTTTGTTAATGAACCTATTGAACTGGCAGGTCGACAAGTAAAGACCTAAACCAATAGGCTCACAAGTTTAATTGTTGGTCCAGTTTAAAAACTATGTTTTGGAGCGATCTTGTGGGGTTGTCCGCCATGAATTAGGAGTCGCTCTCTGGGGAAGTGATGATGATGATGATGATGATGATATTGTAGAGAACTTCAATTATGTCCTTTTCATAGAGGTGTGAGAGTCTTATGTGTAGCCAAATCAGCACTTTGTGTTTTCGTGAATTAACCGAAGAAGCCTCTTCTACTCTTTTAACGATTTGAGGAGTTGGAACCCGAGCCACGAGTTCAGGAAAACCATTTTTCTCATTGCGCATGTTTGTCTACCAAAACTCTTACCAATAGAATGGCAAGGCCAAGTGTCAGAGCTAAATCCGGCAAATCCCTTGGTAGGGTATCCTAGCTAGGTGACCTAGAACGATGGTGACAAAGATGGGGGTTCTACCTAGGTTCAAGCTCTCATGAAGGAGATAATACCCTACGTCTCGCTCTTTGCTTTATTGTGTTGGGGTGTGTACAAAGTACAAAGTACCAAGTGATTCTCAATGTATCTATCAAAAAGCTCGATCCGCGGTTTATATAGCACACCAGGGGCCCTAGGATACATCTCAGTCGGCTACGTATGGGGAGACAGAGTCCTCCATGATCACAACTTCTTGTGTTGCACGCCAAGCCTTTTGGAGTCTTTCTATTATTTGCCATGGGCCGCCCAAAGTGGCCCAAGATGAAACCGACAGAGGGGGTACTAAACTCGGCCCACCAGGCCAAGAGTCGTCATGGTGAGAGGCCCCTTGGCCAGGACACCATCAGTAGCCCCTGAACCGATCTTCAAGCTTGACTGCACGTCGGGCCATCCGACCTGCACACGCGGAAATGTTTCTGCGCCGCCAGCCAATTGGTGGGAGGAACTCCCGTGCTACACCAAGAAGTTTTATCCGGTCTTATCCAAGGGCCCACCTTACCACGTGTCATCCTTGACCTGACAATCAACATGGCGAGCGGGAGTGGGCCAGGGCCCCACACATGCCACATCTCATCAAATGGACGATGTGTGCCTCGATCCCGCATGAGTGTTAACGGCAACCCCTCGATCCCCGTGCATCATTAACTCCTTAATATGGGAAAGTGAAGAGATTTTCTTAGTTTAAGGGAATTGTTGGAGAGTTTTTCCCTCGATTTTTCATAAACAGTAGTTATTTGAGGTTTACAAAAGTGCTAGAGTTGCTCTTAGTAGCTTCGTATACATTGTGGTTTCTAGTAATGGAAATAGGAGGGGCAACTTGAACGATACTACGAGTTTTTTGTTGAGAGTGGGTGAGGGGAGAAGGGTCGGTCCGTTAATTCGTGTAGGAAAAAAATCCGTAAGTCTAGCATTTTCGGAGACAACTCTATTTACTAAAATAAAAATGGCCCCTCCTTCAAAAAAAAGGCCCCACGTGATTCTCCGCATACGCCAAAGTGAACACGTGGAACGCCAAGGAAGCAGCAAGTCTATCGTGAGGCCAAGCTGAGGATTGGACGCGGCCACCGCACACTCTCGTGACACTCGCGAGCACGCCGCCGGCGCAAGAAGCACAGCCCAAGCCAAGCTCCCGGCCGGGCGGATTCATTGGTTGCGCGATGGACCTGCGCGTCGCTGCCCCCGCCTCCGTGGCCGCCGCCGCGCGCCGGGGCGTGCTCGGAGTCGGATGCGCGGGCGTCCGGCCGCCCCAAGGCCGCCGCCAGTGCCGCCCATCGGTGCGCGTGTCCGTCGCGACCACGGAGTCCTCCGCCGCCGCGGCCGCCGTAGCCGCCGTAAGTAACACACGTGCCCCGTCCCTCTCAGTCCCAGCCACTAGCTAGCTCTGGTGTCTGGTCATCCAGTTCACGACTCTTTGCTGTTCAGTCGGCGGCCGAGGATGAGGAGACGACGAACCCGAGGACGGTGGTGGCGGTCATCCTCGGCGGCGGCGCCGGGACGAGGCTCTTCCCTCTCACCAAGCGCAGGGCCAAGCCCGCCGTGAGTTGTCACTCCTCTTTTTCCACGACTCGCCAAATGCGAGTAGATTATTTGACAGACACTGATTGTGCTGGTGCTACCCGCCGCAGGTGCCGATAGGCGGCGCGTACAGGCTCATCGATGTGCCCATGAGCAACTGCATCAACAGCGGGATCAACAAGGTGTACGTCCTCACCCAGTTCAACTCCGCCTCCCTCAACCGCCACCTCTCCAGGGCCTACAACTTCAGCAATGGCGTCGGCTTCGGAGACGGTTTCGTCGAGGTGCCAAATCCTGCAATTCAATTCAGAAATCTTATACTTTAGGGCATAAAATGTATCATGGATGGCAGATCACGCACTACGTCAAGGAATCTTCGGGTCTTGCTTTGATTATCTGAAACAGGGATAACAGAGTGGAAACCGTTCTGTTTTTTCAGGTTCTAGCAGCAACTCAGAGGGCTGGATCGGAGGGAAAGATGTGGTTTCAGGGTACCGCCGACGCGGTTCGGCAATTCGCTTGGCTTTTCGATGTACGTTTTCTCTCAGCGTGTGCGAGTGAGATGCATTTTTCTTTCACCACTACAGACGATGAATCGCGATGCAGGGAGTGTGCACGTGGTAGGTAGAAAAATGTTCATGGTGTGTGGTTTCCCCATTGTAGTTTTGCACAAAGCCATTTTCCACTCTAAAAAAACACAGAGCCTCTTGCCCCTGTCATACTGATATAATTCCAGGATCAAGAACCTGGGTTCAGATATGCATTCGGTTCCGCTACTGGAAACCTCATGCTTGTAACACTGTATTTTATTTTATTTTTTGCTTTTCAGGATGCCAAATCTAAAGACATAGAGGATGTGCTGATTCTTTCTGGCGATCACCTCTACCGTATGGACTACATGGACTTTGTTCAGGTAATTTACCGCAAAAAGATTGTTTTTCACACTTGTTTGTTCAAATGATTGGTTAAATTGTTGTGGCGATTCCACATGCAGAGTCATCGGCAGAGAAACGCGGGCATCAGCATCTGTTGCTTGCCTATTGATGGCAGGTGATTTCCTTTCTATTTCAGTGGCTAATGTACATAAAGTCACAAGTGGCCTTCCACTGTGCATCATCTACATGCAGAGGAAATTCTTCTTCAATTTTTTTAATGTTTTTGAAAAAAATGAATTGCCACTGCTGTGTTAAGGCAAATATTTGATTTTTAGCATATAATAAACTCTTCGATTTAACACCCTGTTAGTTTGTGTCTTGTGGATTAGAGATGAATAATTCTGTTTTCAATGTTAGCCGGGCGTCTGATTTTGGTCTAATGAAGATAGACGGCACAGGAAGAGTTATTTCATTTAGTGAAAAACCGAGAGGAGCTGATTTAAAAGCAATGGTAAGTTGTATTGATCTCTTCATGCCACTCACCTCTCCTGTCCACACACTAGAGTAACATTCTAGATGGCCAAGTGCACAGTGTATCAGTTAGTACAGCACTGAGAATGCCATTCAAATAAAATAAAACAGAAGGTCATGGACATATGTTTTTGGCAGCAAGTTGACACCACTCTCCTCGGCTTACCGAAGGAGGAAGCAGAAAAGAAACCATACATAGCTTCAATGGGGGTATACATATTCAAGAAAGAGATACTTCTAAATCTTTTGAGGTACGCCAATTCAACTTACTGGACCTAAATTTAATGTCAGTTGAATATTCTATTTGATTCTTCCCTGAAGAAAAGTATTCAGTTCTCCAAATACAAGGCAAACTGCCTAAGTTCCAATAAACGTGGAAAGTACTAAAAACAAGCTGTTTCATTTTCGAATATTTAATGTTGTAGTCTTTTTGGGATAATACCTTATGTTGTAGTAAGGTGCATTTTTCATAGAACAACTTGATCACAAGTAGGTCTTAATATGCAGTGCATTTTTGTTAGGTCAGATGGCGTTTTCCTACTGCAAATGATTTTGGGTCTGAAATAATTCCAGCTGCAGCAAGAGAGATTAATGTAAAGGTACGTGGATACCTAGCATGTGACAGCATCACCTACTGGTGCATTCTTCAATTGCAGTCAGGCATCTAAAACTGCACAATTGAAAGACAGAAAAGTAGGATGATGGCATTGCCAGAATATTGCCATTTCAGTTCCCTATTACTGCGCTAGTAATTTTTTGTTTCAAAATGTTAAAACTGTATCTTTATGTTGTATTATTTTCTGTAAACCTTAACTTCCATATGATGTTTTTTCTACGCCGACTTCCATATGATGTCGCCGGTATCTAATATTTAACACTTCAGGCATATCTTTTCAATGATTACTGGGAAGATATTGGAACTATCAAATCCTTCTTTGAAGCAAATCTTGCCCTTGCTGAACAGGTATGGGTAGTCTGTGCAAACTAATGGCGAGCTGCCTCTTTATTTCGTTATCCTTTTACAGTCTTTGCCCTTCTTTTCCTACACCACTATGTTATTGGTTCTGGTGTTAGTTTTATTCAGTGTAAGGTGTTAATAGTTACTCTTATGCAGTATCACTGTTTATTGGTATGGCCCAGTGAGGCAGTAGATATATTTATTTTTTTGCGAATGAGGCAGTAGATATATACACTGACTGACACTTTACAAGGTGCAAGAATTACAGAGAGCACTCTACAAAAGAGATAAATACAATGTACTAATGGTCATAATACGTATGAACAAGCAAAAAAACTTTTATTCTGCAAGAAATAAAGTGGGAATCTGAACCTTTCGTAACATGTGATCATCTTTTTCGTGAAAATATGCAGCCTTCAAAGTTCAGCTTCTATGATGCTAGCAAACCGATGTACACATCACGCAGAAACCTACCACCATCTATGATCAGCACTAGTAAGGTATGTGTTGCCTCTGGGCTAGTATGACTCCCATTTTGCACTATTCTTTTCTTGAAATTCTGCATGTGCCATTTTTACAGCCCAAAATTCTTTCTATTACATTGTGCCATCATTATCACCGTGCTTTACCTTTGCACCCTTAGTTACCAATATCTTACTATAAGTGTTCAGTTACTCTTCAGAAATCGATTTGGTTGCCGTGCCGCCTAACATGTGTATACCATTTGCAGATCACTGATTCGATCATTTCCCATGGATGTTTCTTGGATAAATGCAGGGTAGAGCACAGTGTCGTTGGAATCCGTTCTCGAATAGGCTCCAACGTACACCTCAAGGTCAGGCCTCTTGCTTGCAAAAAGCATAAACACCAATAGGGATCCATTATAGCCTTCCACAATAACAGCAAATGTGGTTCTCCATTTCTTCAGGATACGGTAATGCTCGGTGCTGATTTCTATGAAACTGACATGGAAAGAGGCGACCAGCTGGCCGAAGGAAAGGTTCCGATTGGGATCGGGGAGAACACTTCGATTCAGTACGCACGCATATATACTTCCTAGCTCACCGCTCGCCAGCTTAGAAATCGTGTTGTATTACTCTTGTCTGACAAATGTCTCCCTCTTGCTCTGCCCAGAAACTGCATCATTGATAAGAATGCGAGGATAGGGAAGAATGTGACCATTGCTAATGCCGAGGTATGCATGATGTTCTCTGCCACCTTGTTTCTTCAAGAACAGTCGCATAATGAATATGTATCAATAAGCTATGATCCCCCAATGTTGCTCTCATTTGATAAGATTTTTGTAGCGTTCGTCTGAAATGCTACTGTTCATTTGATCATTTCTAGTGAACCACCCTCCGGAGTTGGTGTCGTCCGAATACTACTGAACATGTGGTTTGCTGTTGGGTTCTTTGCAGGGTGTACAGGAAGGAGACAGGGCGTCAGAAGGCTTCCACATCCGGTCCGGCATCACGGTTGTGCTGAAGAACTCAGTGATTGAGGATGGATTAGTCATATGAGCTGAAAAAGAGTCTCTCCAGTTCAGCAAGAGAAATAAAGAATTCGTTTGTAGTCTTCCAATAAGATGCGTGGGAACCCTGAAAATGCTCCTTGTGTATACGAGATGACTTTGGTTCTCGAAACATGCAATGTCATGTCACCGAATTGCTTTAAAAATTCAAGTAGTGTTATCAACATGACTGAGGTTTTAAATTTTGAAAACAGAAAACTTCCGTATGTCACTGAAATATGTGAAATTTAACAAATTTCAGATATTTTCTTTTGGATTTAGATCTATCAAAATTCACCTAATTCTATTGACTTTTTATTAAATTTTGTTTGAACCTAGCTTGGAATTTTTGAGGTTACAAATAGTTTGGTACCCTACCCTAAAAAAAATCGGTACCCACTGAAAGTGCCGAAATTTCAGAAATTTCAGCTTTTAGTCTTTTTTTGCTTGTGTGCACATCCACCGCAAAGCCTTTGGCCGTGGCATCCTCCTGTGGTGCTGGTGGGGTGGAGGGAGGAAGTTCGAAGAGGAAAGCCAATCGGTTCACTTGAAAAGAGTTGTGCTATCACTAAGCAGGCATTGCATTTATCCAAAGTAGCATCATGGGTTTTCATACTTGCGCACTGCCACGCCATTCTGGCACCTGTGATGCTGGGCATGGGCAGCAAACACTCACGCTACTGGATTTCAGTTCTGGCTAAGCAGCGTGCAGCGAGGGAACGATGTAAAATCACGGCCGGAGGAATTCCGGTGGAATCGACGGTCACGAATCGCTGATGATGGTTTGTCGTGCGCAGGCGTTTGGCCCTACACGTGGCCGTCTGGGTCGCCCCTCCATGTTTCTTTTAAACAAGGTAAAAGATTTGCAATTTTATTGATTGAGAGAGAAGGTTTAATGACCGCAAAGCGGAAACAAAGAACTACTCTCACGGCAAAGTTGGAATGAGCACGCGGGGGCAAATGATGTACTCCTAAACATAACACACACAAGTAAAATAATGTCATAAAAGTATAGTAAGGGGCTAAGGGCTATCCATTATGCTCAACTTATATTATTGAAGGTATCTGAATTTATAGAATTACAGTCTTGAGAAACAACTAGAATCAAAACTGACACACGATCGAGAAAAGGGACCAACAATGGCATTTTCAATAGAAATCTTCAGAAAACCAGACATGATAGATTAACTATGTCCAAAACATGTGCAAACTACCGAGGATACCTTGATGATATCATGAACTCTTCTTCCATACTATATTGTCTTGTTGAATCCTCATCGCTGCCTCTTTCATGCTCATTCATTGGGCAATTTGTTGGAATAACGTCATTCTCAAATTCCTCATCCACCACATTATCTGAAACAATATGCATTGATGATTGTAAGTTTTCCAATGTCAACTCCACTTGTCGCATGGTTGGGCGATCCTCTCCTTTTAACTGTGTACATGCTATTGCAAGTGCAGCGACTTCATGGACTTCTTTGCTCCACTCATTTATAACTTGTGGATCTAGTATCTGCGACAAGTTATCTTCTGCAAATAACATAGCAAAATGTGCAACAATACCATCACCGCTAGGGGATAAATATGAAAATGGCTTCTTTCTGGTCAACAGTTCTACAACCATGACACCAAAACTGTAGACATCACTTTTCTCCGTAAGTCTCTCTGTATAGAAGTACATAGGGTCTAAATATCCGATGGTACCTTGCACCATGGTTGTTAACCCTGATTTCTCCACTGAAATATACCTTGAAGCTCCAAAATCTGCTACCTTTGTTGTTAGAGTATCGTCCAAAAGTATGTTAACTGACTTGATATCTCTATGGATGATAGGTATTGAAGCTGTCGAGTGAAGATATGCTAGGGATTTAGCTGTTTCAATTGCTATTCGTAGCCTGTCGCTCCATGACAATGATCTTGGTCCTTCAACATGAAGATGATCATAAAGGGTTCCATTTGATATGAACTCATAGACCAACATTGGGACTTCTGTTTCAAGACAACAACCATAGAGTTTTACCACATTCCGATGGTTGATTTGTGACAGTATAGCAACCTCATTTATAAACTCATCAATCTCTTTTTGAACCACCTTCTTTGGTCTCTTGATAGCCACAACATGGAGGTCTGATAAAATTCCTTTGTAGACGGTGCCATGCCCTCCACCACCAAGCTCACGAGCTTTATCAAAGTTATTTGTTGCCTTCTCTAGCTCTTCTAAAGGTATGATCATCCTTTCTGCAATATCGGCTCTTTGGGATACCAATTGTTGCAATAATTGACCACGGTTCTGCTCAAAGAACTTTCGCTTCAACATTTGTGCCCTTTTGTGCTTCAATTTTTTGGAAATAAAGAGCCCGATAAAAATCAGAAGTACAAAGCCCGCCCCGCTGGCAACTCCTATGATGACACCTTTATCTGCAAAAATACAAATATCATTATCCGTTTTCTAAGAATCGATAAAGTGTACTCAAAACAAGTTACGGCTTGTGTTTAATATAGGGAATGAAGGAACTATATCAACAAACTACTAGGATGTTTTTTAATGACAGCAAGCTAATTAAGTCGATTAATAATCAGGATGGATTATACTACTACTTTTTCACATAATAAGTACTGGTAACACTGACTAGCTGTCTTCATCAGCTCAGAAGGAACAAAAAGAACAATAATCCTCCTAGAGCTAGTGCAGTGCTGCTCACCTTTAAATAATAACCGGCGGCGGCCACCTGGAGCTGGAGACAAAACGTTACATTAACTTCATTAGTTACATTACATCATAGAGAAACAATTGAGCCAAATTAACTTGACGCACGCATAGAAGCGTAAGCAGCAAGCTGGTACTACTACTTCCTCCGTTCGGAATTACTTGTCTCGAAAATGGTTGTATCTAAAACTAAAATACGTCTAGATACATTCATTTCTATGACAAGTAATTCCGAATGGAGGGAGTAGATGTGTAGATACACTTAACTAACCTTGGCATCCATCAACGAGGTAGGGGTTGCCCTGGTAGCCGTCCATGCATTGGCACGAATAGCCACGTCTCTCTTGTACGCAGTGGCTGTGCTCGCTCTTGCAGATGCTATCGGCTACCTCTGCGGGACAATTGGGCTGCTGCGAGCTCACTTTAGCCGGAGGAAAGCCGGGCAGCAAGACCTCCCACTGTAGAATCATGGAAATTTCCTCGTGCTGAATGGTCTGCGCCAGCTCGTCGGACAACCTACCCAAATCAAACCACCCTTCCTCTGCGATTAAAACATATGTCGATTTCGGATTTAGCGCGTTGCTTCGGTCGAGCCCTTCTAAGCTCAATGCCCCAAGCACGCCGTACTTGGACATGGAGATGCGTGCCTGACAACAGCCCATGCCATAGCAGTACTTGCCGTGGTTGCGCCTTGCCACCGTCGTAGCATAGGTGCCATTCACGTCGGAGGAGCAGAAGGAGGCGCATCCGATAAGGATGGCTTTGTTGTCGGACGCAAGCAACGTCGCCTTGGCATTGCATCCCATGAGGATGAGCTCGTTACGGGTCGACAGGGAGTAGGGCTTCTCCCAGGGTTGCGTGAAAACATCTTCGAAATAGAAAGTGTCTTCTCGGGAGGTGAGGCCTAAGAAGGCACCAGTGTGAACGACACGCACTGTGGTGTTCGTGAGGGAGATGTCGAGGACTTGAAAGTCTCCATAGTCGCCGAGCAGCAGCCGTGTGATGTTCTCGCTTGTTGTGTCGCAGGTGAGGTTGAACCCTGGTCTGTAGCAGTGGAGGGGCCCCATGCTGAAAGGGTACGGTACTTTCACGTCACCACATGACGTGTTGCAGTTACCTGGTAGTATCAGATTTGCATGAGTAATTAATACTCCCTCCATTCCAAAATGTAGTGTATGTAGATTTATTTTTAAAAGTCAAAACTCACATACTTTGACCAAGTTCGTACAGAAAAACATATACATACAGTATAAAATGCCAAATATATCTTAGTAGATTCATTATAAGATGTAGTTTCATAGTATTTGGCATTGTAGATATAAATAGTTTTCTCTAAAAACTTGATCAAAATTTGTAATATGTTTGACTTTTCAAAGAATTTATAAACAACGGAGGGAGTATGTAAAAGTGTCTTATAAGAGAAGTGGACAAAAGATTGCACCGTCACTGACCTGTGTCTATGACCGAAGGGACGATGCAACCTTCATTCAGGTTGGGGTCGCCCTGGGTTCCTGATGGACACCCACACTTAAAAGATCCTTGCGTATTGGTGCATTTACCAAGGCACCGACTTCCTCCTGGTTGCTCGCACTCATTTATATTTAGCACCATGTAATCAACAAAATAAGTTATTGATCGGTGTAATCTTTGGTACTCCCTCTCTCTCAGTTTACAGGGCGTGCGCGTATTTCTAGATCGTCAATTTGACCAACCTAATACAAGTCATATATTACAAAAAATATACCAATATAAACTTCAGATGTTCTATTTTCAAACTGTATAATTTTTGTGTTATATAATTTATATTAAGGTGATAAAATTGACAACCTAGGTATACGCGTAAGACTTGTAAACTAGTAATTTGATAACTATGGATAGCATTGTAGTTTATGGCAACAACGAAATCAGTTGAGTGATTGGGTGGCTCAGATCTCACCACTAATTGGCAACAAGGAAAATCAGTCAGTTGATTGATTTTATAGTTTATGACAACAACAAAATATCTGGCAAAACGAAAGAAGTATATAAACCAAAAGAAATATAATGGAAAATACATACATTCGGCAGGAATTGAACATATTGTATAGCAAAATGAAAGAAGTATACAAAATTTTAATTGGACCATCGGGCAGGGATTGCATAAATTCCAAAACATTAAATTGAAGAAATGTAATCTCAGAAGGGCATTGACAAGAAACTCCACGACAACAATGACTCACATAGAAGCAACAAACCATGTTTGGAGGATGCTCACTACGCAATCCCGTATGACTTCCCGGACACAAGAAAAATAAGGATTTGACTTTAATAAAAACTAGCATGATGAACTCACGTTTTTGTGTGGCTAGACTTTATAAAGTTATTTTTCAAAATGAATATGATTCGATAAATTTGTAGAGGACGGTCTATTTTTTACTTGATAAATCAATATATGTTGTATATGTTTAACCACTTATGGTAGAGAAGTATCGCCATCCAGATTCTTGTCAATCATAATCTATGATGCTATTTTTTACTATTGGCATGTTGTTGCCGGTCTTATTACGACGGAATTGACTTACATTTTTTAACAACGCCTACCATCCTAGCATGCTTTCTCTAATCCTATATATCAAAGTAGTTGATTTCCACTACTTCTCATCTCAACATATGCACTTGTTACCTCGTCAAAGACCCACCTCAACATGCATGCAAAAAAACTCATTATTAGTCCCCACTGCTTTTATTTATCTCAACATGCACATATCCACCTCACCACGCATGTCACCTCATATAAGGTCCACCACAACATGCATGGAAAAAGTTTTTCATTATATTGTGCTACTTATATTCCTAACAAAATAATTATACAATAATCAAGTACAATTAGAATATGTATTTTCAGTTTTAGTTCATATATTATTGATCCAAATATGCATGTTTCATACAACCAAATGTCATTCAAATATTTCATGCAGCAACGCGCAGGGTATCATCTAGTGATGAGCATTATTGCTTCACATATTTCACTTGACATCTATGTCAATGATAGTCATCAATAAGAAAGTGGGCCTAACTCATGTGGGATCCACATGGACTTGAGTCTTAGTTTATATCTAGTAAACTATCTAGCCTCCCATATAGGTTTCTAGGTAAAAATATATAATTATTAGTTTATATTCATTGGGAATTTTAATATAATATTATATGTTTTGGCACTCAGTCCTGGTACATGTAAATACTATTTTATTCTTTTAAATCTACTTTTCCATCATTGGGTCTAGCTGTTGTGAACTTGTACATTAACCGCCAATTCACATTCCCTTAGCTCCACTCTTTTATACTGGTGTCAACAGCTTTTCTGTACAGTTGATTCCACACACGTCGATAGATCTACCTAAGCAAATCGTGTTGATACATCTGAGACGTGTTGCTTGATGTCGATCATTCGCCACTAAATACTACATGGTATTGAATGGAAATCAATAGTTTAATATAGTTATCATTTTATATTTGTTGGAAATTCCCGGGACATACCATTACACTAACTCTATCTATGTAATTTGTATTTTATTTTTAGCATAAATGAAACAACTTTATTACATAGTTGACATGATTTGTTGCTTCCAACCTTTACTATTGCAGCTGCAACAATATATAGCTCCCTTATCAAGTACTATGGCAGCTGCATAAATGAAAGAACTTACATACTATTTGATTCTTCAAACTTGACTATCTTATTGTTGGTTATGGCTACCGCGGACTTCGACAGTGGCTACCAATTCAAGCCTATACCTTAGTTTCACACTTCTCTACTCATGTTGATATCTCTTGCTATATAGTTTACTTTAATTTATTCTACATTTTTATGTTTATATTGACTTTGTATATAAATCAAATAACTCGCATACAAAAAATATTTTGTTTATCTCTAGATGGGAAAGAGAGTTGTATTCTTTGTCTATCGAATATTTTTATCTACCACTCCCTCCATGAACATCTAGAATTTCATTCTTCAGTTAACTATTTTTAACCTAATGTGAAGTACTGCTAATTAAAACTAATTTTTTATTTTTATTTTCTTTTAAATATGATGTGCATAAGAGTGGTGTATTCTTTACATGACTTGTTTTTTATACGATTCCCATTGTCCTGGGATAGAAGGCTCGTGAGACTTTTTCATAGTCTCCAGCATATAATGTTGATTATATTTTTTGTTTGTAGTATATTTCAAAAATTAAAAGTACAAATAAAATGGAATTAATTTAGCTTACTCAGTCTATATTTTTATTAAATGTAGGTAAAGGTTCCAAAAGCTTGTTGTGTGTTTAACTATACACCTTATATTTCCGATAAAAGGCTATGACATATTAAAACATGTTTATATATTTCAACCACTTGAATATGTATTTTGACTGCATCTAGTACAATACAAATTGATGGCATATGATTTTCCTCATTTGCAACATCGAGGAAGCAAATATGAAGAGAATCCATGACCTTTATAATTGGTGGTGAGATAATTGGAAACTTTTCTGTGCGAGGAGATAATTAGAAACTTTGTGCGAGTGAAATTTATCATACGTGAATTTTGAATCACTATTATGTGTAGCTTGTTGGATTAGTTGAAA